GACTCGAAAAATTCCCCTATTTTATGAATACGTGGACAGTTTTGAAAAATTTAAACCATACTGAATTTCCGAAGAGGGATGACTTTTATTCCTCTCTGTCGGAAGACACAATATCAGAAGAAGAGTATGCCTTTGCTCATCATATTTGGCAGACATTCAAAATTACATCGGTGAGAATTCATGGAATTGTGCGTTGCCGTTGACACTTTGATTTTGACCCGATGTGTTTGAAGCATTTCGCAGCATGTGTTTTAAGCTATTACAAGCTCGATCCCTGTCAGTACTTTACTCTCCCGGGGATGGCCATGGACGCATGTCTCTTGATGACAGGAGTGACCCTTGATCTCATGACTGATCCAGACATGTACAATTTTGTCTCCAACGCGGTAAGAGGGGGTGTGGCTAGCATCAATCATCGTCACGCCAAGCCAACAACAAACACATGTCCGATTTCGACCCATCCAAAGCTCAATCTCACCTGATGTATTATGATATTAACAATCTGTATGGTGCTGCCATGAGCTGTCCTTTACCTCAAGGAGATTTTTCAGTGGGTAGGTGAAACACAAATAGACGCTATTGACTGGTTGAAACTCGACCCCAAAGGTGATGTAGGTTACGTCGTAGAGTGCGATTTGGAATACCACGTCATCTTCACTCTGTCCATCAATCCTTGCCCCTCGCTCCCACCAAAGAAAGCATTCCCTTTGAAGACTTGTCGCCCTACCATCGCGTTTTGCTGGCACAATTAGGTCTGTTGGGGAAGAACAATAACAGGAACCACCCACGGGCACCAAACTATTTTTCCACTCTGAAGAGACAAAGAGAATTATGTCACTTATTTGAACTTTGCAACAATACTTGCGACTGGGTTTGAAGCTAAAGAAAGTTCACAAGGTTCTGAAATTTACCCAGTCAAAATGGATGAAACCTTACATCGACTTTAACACTCAAAAGCGCAAAGAAGCGACCGATGATTTTCGAAGAGTTGCTTTCCAATTACCGTGTATGGGAAACAATTACAAAATGTTAGAAATTACATGCACAAATTGAGTTAATCACCAGTGAAGAAAGACTAAGAAGGTTTTCGGCAAAGCCAAATTTCAAAAGTGTCAATATATTTTCGGAACATTTGGTGCGTGGTGAGCATGGAGAAAGTGTCTGTCACTTTGAACCAACCCGTCGCTGTAGGTTTCACCATTTTGGAACATGCTAAGCGAAGTTCTGTACGATTTCCATTACAACGTTGTGTTAAAGACTTACGTTAGCGACCAAGTGAGGGTTTTGATGACGGACACAGATAGCTTATTTTACCAATTCTGGTCGCCCATGGGTACTCCTCTCCTCGACCCTCAAGACTTCATGTTAGCTAACCCACATCTCTTTGACACCTCAAACTACCCTAAGGACCACCCACTTCATTCCATGGAAAGACACAAAGTGATTGGTCTGATGAAAGACGAAGTGGGTGGTCAGACTATCAGAGAGTTTGTTGGACTTCGAGCAAAAAACTATAGTTTCATTTTTGACAAAACTTCAGGTGAAAGGGTCGAGAAGAGCACTGCCAAAGGGATACAGGAAACATTCAAAAAGAAACAAATGTATAAATGTACAAAGTCGCTATGACAGAGAAGATGACCCTCATAGAAAACTTGTTGACTCTCTGCTATTGTCTTCAACTCACTAAGATTATCAAACGACTGTCTCGCGAACTGTGTTTTGGGTGCATGTTCGAGACAGAAGGTGAACGGGTGCATACTTGTGACGTGTCAGAAGAAAACATGGTGGAGAAGTACTTCAACATGGCGTTGTCTGAAGTAGACGACGCAGAGGTGAACAGAAACTGGAGAAACCTGTTGGCAGATGACCCGACTTTGCGAGACGTGAAAGAATTCAACTTTGTTCCGTATCAATGCGAGGAATATCGTGACTCTCAGTTTAAAACTGATAAATGCATTGACAGTATGAAAGAGCGTGTCTTGAAAATGTTAAAGTTGGATAAAGGAGCGTAAAAAGAAGAAGAAACCATCGTACTGGTTTGTATTTCTCGCAAATAAAAAAAACCCTCTATGTTATTTATGTTATTTATGTTATTTTGTCATTATTATTGCCGTGACAAAATGTATAAAATCCCCAATGAACCACCAAAATATAACACTGGCAAATCTAAAATATTCAATTAAATGTATTGACCAAATATACAACAGCAGTGGTACGATGCAGATTTCTGGAAAATATAAAGACACATTAACCGTAACAAAATTTGGGGTCCCATCTGGGATAGAATGCAAGTTTTTTTCTGGTCTAAATAAGGTTCAAAAAAAAAGGAAAAAGGAACAAACTTTTATAATCCATTCATGGGAATGTAGTACAACTTTTATAATTCAGTCATGAGAGTCATGGGAATGTAGTCCTCGTCTGTTGCGGTGATTGGGGATGGATGTGGCGCCATCAGTGTCGGTGTGACAGGGGTGGGCCAGCTACTTTGAGATGATGATGCAACATTATCAATGCTGGTTACTACCACTCTCCTCGGAGGCAGGGGGGGTGGACGACATGCCTTCAGTCTGCGAAGGTCACTCTCCACTTGCTCCATCCGGGACTCATAACTGCAGTGTCTGGGACACTCGATCTGAGAGAACAGTGTTCTTATGTCTTGAGAAGCGACGTCGATTCGCTCCTCACATCTCCTCATCCTCTCCTCTAATCTGTCCTCGTCTTCCCTTGCTCTACAGAAACACTGACCCATTTCTCTTCGTATGCAAACAAATCTAATCCTTGCACCACCATTAAAATTACCCACAAATACTCTTTACATCCGCTACAGTTAAAACGTGGTCATGGTCCAAGGGAGATAACTCTTAGAGACAGCAAGAGAGAGAGAGAGAGAGACCGCTTAATCAACATCCCGTTCAATGATGTTATTTTGTCATTATGTTTTCATTGTATTTTTGTTGTCTTATCTTACGCTGCTCTCATTTCATCATGAGTTCTCAAGAGAGTAACACTGCACAGACTCCTGGCACAGCACTAGAAGATTATTATTTCGACCCGCAGAAACCAGGTGCCTATTACGGACCCTCGAAACTTCGAAGTGTGCTACGAGATAAGGGTGAACCAAAGACGTCACTACGTCATGTCAAAAAGTTTGTTAGCGATCAAGATGCTTACAGCTTACATAGACCTGTTAGATATCGTTTCAAAAGGATGAAAGTAAGAGTCAATTCTATCGATGAAATGTTTGATGTGGATTTAGCTGATGTGTCGAGGTATACCAAGTGGAACGAGGGAGTGAGATATTTGCTGGTAGTGGTGGACATTCTATCACGATTTGCTTTCGTTTTACCACTGGAAAACAAGAGACCTGAGACAGTGTTGAAGAGTTTCAAAAAAATACTCAAACAAAGAAAACCCAAAAAAGTCAGAGTGGATGCAGGGAGTGAATTCAAAGGTGTGTTTAAGGAGTATTTAAAAACACAAAAGATAAAACTTACCATAGCTCGTCGCACAATGAAAACATCAAGAGCAATTACGTCGAGCGGCTTTAACAGAACATTGAAATCTCTCATCACTCGTTACATGACTTTAATAACACCTCAAGCGTTATTTGGACGTTCTTCAAAAACTGATTTACAACTACAACCACACGCTACATTCTTCTTTACCCCATCTGTCCCCTGCACAAGTGAACAGGGAAAACGAAGTGAAAGTATGGGATCACGTCTATCTGGAGCCCTTGAGAAAAATCAGTAAACCTAAAATCAAGAAATACGTATTTAAGGTGGGTGACCTGGTTCGCATCTCATATCTCAGGAAACCCTTCAGCACGATACTCGACCTCAAGTGGACGGAGGAGTTATTTAAAGTGGCACGACGTTACAAGAAACAGACGTTCCCACAGTACAAACTGAAAGATTTTCACGACGAACCGGTGGCAGGGTCCTTTTACGCGAACGAACTAAAGAGAGTCAACAAAACGACGGACGATGCTCTGGCGAGTCGAGAAAGTTCTCAAAAGAAAAAGTGAGGGGAAGACTTACGCTCTGGTACGGTGGCTCGGGTGGCCTAAGTCTTTCGATTCATACGTGGAAGAAAGCGAATTAAAGGAATTGTAATATGGTGTGAAAAACAAAAATTAAATATGGATAAGTACGTGTTTCTCAAAAGCACCGATTCCAAAACGACATCCTTTCCAGAGAATACGGCCTACCATTTTCGCGTCAATTTAAATCAAAGGTTAGTCTTCGACGGATTCTGGGTGGTGTCTTTAACGGAGCTGAACTTTGGAAAGGTGGACCTGAGTAAAGTCACGGATCCTTACGTAGACGTATTGTGTAATCTATGCGATAGTTCATTGGTGGGCGAAACTCAACTGGCCTTATTGAGACGCATCGATTTAAGACAGGGGCCTACCTATGCGTTTGGTACTGAATTTAATATTCGTGTCAAGCTGAAAGAAACCGACAATATCGAAATGTATTTAAAGTCGGAAAATGCATTGACAGCTTCATTTCTAACGGAAGCGACGTACGCTACACTTCATTTAAGAACTTATCCTTTTGTGGAGTAAAATACACCAAAAAAAAGGAAGCCATGGATTCACGTCCTCTGTATTTCCCTGACTACGCCAAGTTTAAACATTATTTTGACAACAAACACGTGAGGAAAACATCTCATCTGCTCCACGGAAAAGCGAAAAAGCTAGTGATCCCATCTCGGCAAGCAGGAACACACCGTCAACAGCAGCAACAGCAGCCGACTAAGGTCACTTTGCAAATGACATCGGAATCGCAAAGCGAGGTAGAGAGAGCGGAAGCCAAAGACAAAAGAGTGAAGGCTTTAAAACGCAAGGCTGGTGAAAAGTGCGTCACAACGCAGAAGATACGTCGAACCGACAACAACAACGCTGCCCTTCCAAGACGGCCAAAGCGCTCAAGTGTACACCCGTGCAAGAAAACGACATCTTCAGTTAAAACAACATCAGTAACGACCAAGACACGATGTCACTGCTGAACGACAAAGAATTCGAAGAGCTCGTGATTGAACCCTTGAATCTCTTCACTTTACCCCCTTATCAGACTAGCGTACAGAAACATTATTTCGTGAATGTGCGACCTTTAAGCCACATCAATGATGGTGCGCCATTGGAGTTTCAAGTAAACAACTCGGGTCCCGACTACACCGACCTGAGACGCACTCGTCTGCACGTGAAAGTCAAAGTAACACAGGCCGATGGTACTTCCTTAGCTACTGATGAGAATGTCGCCCCAACAAATCTGTTCCTGCAAACAATGTTCTCGCAGCTGGCGGTGTACCTACAGAACCAGCTCGTGTCTTCGACCAACAACCATTACGCCTACAAGAGCATGATGAAAGTCTTGCTGGGATATGGCGAGGAAGCGAAAAACACCCAGTTGTCCACTCAGCTGTTCTACAAGGATGTTGGCGATAACGACGCTGATTTGGAAAACAGTGACGTCACCGGATCTAATAATACAGGAGTGTTGGCACGCTCCGCTTTCATAGCGGAAAGCAAAGAATTCACCATGTCGGGACCCTTGTACGAGGACATCTTCGACATGAACCGACTTCTACCCAACGACGTGGACCTGACCCTGAAAATGTTCAGATCGGACCCCAAATTTTGTTTGATGAGCAGTGTTACCGCACATGAATTCAAAGTTCACCTTTTGGACGCTTACTTGCAGGTGTGCAAGGTCAAAGTCAATCCAGCTTTGATCTTGGCTCACAACACGCTGTTCGAAAAGTCGAACGCTCTGTACCCATACACCAAAAGCGAAGTCAAAGTGACCAGCATTCCGACCACCCAGCAGGCGCACACCATAGACAACGTAAGCAATCCCGTCGCCAACCGATACGTCGTGGGACTGGTGGAAAGTTCGAGTCTCAACGGGAGCTACACCGGCAATCCGTATAATTTCAAGTCATCCATGCTTAAAAAGATGGCGTTGTACATCGACGGTGCCAGTGTGCCGGGTCAGCCCGTCGAAGCCGACGATGTCGCCTGTTACGTCAACATGCTCGACGGCATGGGTGTGTGGAAGGAAGATAAGGGCAAAGGCATTAGTAGAAGCGAATTTCTCCTCGGGAACGCTTTGTTTGTGTTCGACATTGATAAAATGTGTGCGGATTCGGAGTATCTGAATTTGGTGAAATCAGGAAGTGTGAGGCTCGAACTGGAATTTAAATCGGCACTCAAAAGCACGCTGAGTTGCGTCGTCCTGACTCAGCGAAATTCCCTCATTGAAATTGACCAAGCCCGCAACGTGTTTGTCAGGTAATTGCCAGAGAGAGAGAGAGAGAGAGAGAGAGAGAGAGAGAGAGAGAGAGAGAGAGAGAGAGAGAGAGAGAGAGAGAGAGAGAGAGAGAGAGAGAGAGAGAGAGAGAGAGAGAGAGAGAGAGAGAGAGAGTGCGAAACAATTGCAGTCTTCCAATTCAAACGTGTGTGGTTTGTTTACTAGTACATTGTATTATCTTTTACATAAATTCAATGTCATATGACCCATTTCACATGTTTGTCACTATTTCAGACATTGTACAGTATCGTGTTTATCCTGTACACACAAGACATGAAAACTAGGATACAGAGTGTTGTATGTGTTTGTAAAGCAATTCAGCTTCTTCATAGTGTTGAATCCTGTTCTTTAATATTATTAATTATGTAAGCAGGTTATTGTACTGAATGTATATTCATTTACAGTCCTGAATACTACTTCTTTTTAGTACTGAATAGATGCTGTAGAGAAACATCAACTCAAATAAATAAAAAAAATAATATTTCAGAAAAAAAATATTGGTTTTACGTTTTCTTTCCCTAAAACTCTGGCATAAAATACATCTGCATGGGTAACGATTCGACCAGTTGTCTCGGAACATTGGTACTGTACAGTACAGTCATGGAACAGTCCGGTGATCGATCTAATGTTGCAGACAGCTCATGCTCACTTCCGTTTCAAACACCAGCGACTATATCCGTCATAGGAGGAAGTTCTTCGGGTAAAACCCATCTGGTAAAACGCATGCTAGAACAAGTCGATGACATGTTTCAGCCAGCACCCAACTTGATCGTGTATTGCTACGCAGTTTGGCAAGATGTGTATAGTGACATGCAGCACACCATTCCCAACATCCAGTTTCACGACACCCTTCCTACAGAAGATGAACTGAGATCCTGGTCTGTACAGTCAGAAAAACGCATGTTGTTGATATTTGATGATTTAATGATGGAGATATGTAGAAACCAACTCATGCTGCATCTGTACACTACCCTCTCTCATCATTTAGGGATCACGGTAATCAACATTCAACAGTCGGCTTATCCCAAAGGTGAATGCAACAGAACCATGTCTCTAAACACGCATTACTTTGTTCTGTTATCCAACCCGCGTTCGGCACACGAATACAAAATTTTAGCGTCGCAGATATTCCCGGGACAGGCGAAATATTTTGCCGAAGCCTTCCAAGATGCTGTAGGGAGAAAAAAGTACGGATATCTCGTTCTGGATGTCTCACCCCATGCTGACGAACAGTACGGACGTTTGCGTACAGGAATATTTCCCGGTGATGTGTGCACTGTGTACTTACCTCAGTCATAATTCACACCTGCTCGCATCTAAACCTATAATCTAGCAATTCAAAACAAAACTAAAACATTACAAAAGTGTACACGCTGCACTGGGTTTCATCACTTCGTTTTCAACTCTCGAACTAAACAGAACTCTGCAAGTCGTCGTCGGCGTTATGGACGTATGTGGAAGGTTTGAAGACATAGCTCCAGACTGTGCCGAAACAGAGCACTGTCCCGAGGTGCGTGGACAGAAATTTAGTGACAGACTAAAATCGTTTGCTAAGTGCTGGCCACTTCAGATGAAGCAATCTCCAAAATCCATGGCTGCGGCCGGATTTGTGTACACTGGACAATCCGACAAAGTCTACTGTTTCAACTGCAAGCTACGTGTTCATCGATGGATACCGGAAGACGATCCCATGGTAGAACATTTCAGACTGTCACCTCACTGTGACTACATACACATGGTGTCTGAACCCCAACGCGGCAAAGGAGCTAGAAAGCATCCATGTTTTTGTTTGTTTGTTTTACACGATAGGATAAAACCACATTGACCTAGTGACAGTCGAACATTTGAAAGCTGAGCGGCAAACATTCAACACTTCTCAACATGGGTGAACTGTTGGATAAACATAGGACTTTTCTTCTGATGTTGGAACAAGCTAATGTGAAACAAAGAAAAGCTTTGTTGAATCACGCATCGCGCGAACAGTTTAGGGCTTTGATTACTCTGATATTTAACGTATTAAGGGGCAACATCGTCCTATCGAATGAGGATATATTACGACTGTCACGTCACAAGAAGTGCATTCGAACACTGGTCACCAAGACAGTCAGTGGACGTCGCAAACGTGATCTGATTGCCGCTCACCATTCGGTTCTACCCATTTGCATAAGATCCTATAGAGATTACCTCTCATCCGTACAGTCACACCTTCGTGATGAGCAAGCCGATGATTCTTCTGACGAGGGACACTTATCAGAGACTGATGTCCGAGGCGGAAGCGCGGAAAACAGCAGCGACGACAACAGCGACGACGACGTCGACGAATCAGACACCAAATCAAGAGACGTGGTCTCAGACAGCGAATGAATCGTACGACAGCAGCACATCGCCAAAGGATGACGTCCGAGTTGATTCTCAATCTGTCAACAATAAAAGCAACAACAACGACAGTGACTTTTTGTTACGGATTCCCGAACAACTTCTCAAGAACATTTCTTCCACAAAAACTGTGGGGAAATTAATGACTTTGTGGCTATTTGTCAAGAATTTAATCGACATGGGATATTTGACAGTGAGAGATAACCTGGAACTTGAATTGCTAAATGCAAAACGGTTGGAAGGTTCAAACCTTGTGAAACTGATTCGTTTCGTTGTTCTGCAACATTCTACCTCGAAAAAGCCAATTGGATATAAGGAATTACGTAAACTGTTGCTCAGTTTAAAAGTGCCTCAACATATCGTGAAACGATCAGGAGTTAAATGTGCCACTAACAAGAGATTAGGGGTGAAGAGCAAAGTTATAAATGGTTTCCCGGGGAAGCTCCATTTTAAAAGATTGGAATCTTTGTAATCGAAATGATAGTAGTACTTGTTTGTTTGTTTATATATATATGTATACACGATTGTGGTAAATAAATAAACAGATAAATAAAAAATAACTGAAGCTAACGTCATAGTGATGTTGTTTGTTTTTCAACGCCGGTTTTGACACCCACTGGTGTCTGACTGACTGACTGACTCACTGACTGACTGAGTTTGGTTTTACGCAGCTTTTAGCAATATTCCAGCAATATCGCGGCGGGGGACACCAGAAATGGGCTTCACATATTGTACCCATGTGGGGAATCGAACCCGGGTATTCCAGCAATATCGCGGCGGGGGACACCAGAAATGGGCTTCACATATTGTACCCATGTGGGGAATCGAACCCGGGGCCTTCGGCGTGACGAGCCAACGCTTTAACTTTAGCTTTAGGCTACCGCCCACTGGTGTCATTGCAACAGAACCCACAGTGGTGTTTTACGATTGCTTTTTTTGTTGTTCCTGTCCTAATTTAAGTCGTCGTGAGATAACAGAAATACCCTTGAAAGCGGGCGTTAAACCCCAAGTCATGAGTTATCTATTCATCAGTCATTCACCTTTCTAAGCGTACAGGTATGTGTGTACTCGTTTGCCTGTGTGCAGGGGAGTCATTTTTGTTCGCTTGACAATAATGTTGAGATCTCAAGCTATGTTGATTCAACGACAGAATGTATAAAGATTGTGTACACTCCTGCATCCACCCCCTCAGGACGTAGCTCAGTATACGTCGCAATACGTGCCTTTGATGAATAAAATGCAATTATCTTCCGGTACAAAGTGGGGAGACGGTTTATCCACAGGTAGAAAAAGTGATATTGTCAATATGCCTAAAATGAAAAATAGAACAAATAGTATTTGCACTGCAAACACACACCCGGTATTCACTTCCACCTGCCTACCTTCCGTCGATTTACTGCGATGCGAGACAAATCACACATGAACACGCTTGTTGTTGTTTGATTCAATTCAAATTCTATAGATCACCCCTTCGTCATCGTCATCATATCCACCCTACTCCCTACGTTAATATAAGGTGTGTACAGGAACCTCCGTTTTTCCTGTGATGCCAGGGTAATTGCATTGCGTTTTCAACTGGGGGTGTAAACCATACACAATATACACGTCAGCTTCATATGATAACCAAGTGTATTTGAAGCATGTTTTAGAAACTATCCTACACACTTTCACAACAATACATGTTTTAGAAAATGCTTTAAAGCTCATGTACATTCCAATCAGCCTACAAATATAACATACATTAAGTATAAATTGAACCTCTCAGTCATCATTTTCACCAAGTTCTATTTTTCTCGTGAAATGGGTTTTGCTGTAATCTTTAACGAGGCAAGAACTAAATTTCAGTTTAGAATCGGCGACAACGTGCTCACCCAGCAAGTTTTAAATTATAACGTGTCGAGTCAGTTAAAGTGGATTCTAATTAATTTCTTGAAGGAACAAGATCTCTGGGTGAACAGGGCATTTATTCCAACGTACGTCAACTTATTAACTTTGATAGTTGCTATTCAATTCGATTTCAATACATTATTGACACAGGGGAGCGTCGCGATAGCAATAGACATTCAACCCACTGTTGACACAAGGCGTGGTAACGACGATATATCTGCGACGCAATAACACCGTGGCTATTCAGTTCGATTACAATACATTATTGACACAAGGCGTGGCACCGACGGTATATCTGCGACGCAATACACCAGGGGTTGCTATTCAATTCGATTTCAATACATTATTGACACAGGGGAGCGTCGCGATAGCAATAGACATTCAACCCACTGTTGACACAAGGCGTGGTAACGACGATATATCTGCGACGCAGTAACATCGAGGCTTTTCAATTCGATTACAATACATTATTGACACAGGTGCGTTGAGATTAATTAATTATTCACTCCACTGTTGACATAAGGACAATACCCATTCAACCCGCTGTTGACATAAGGACAATACCCATTCAACCCGCTGTTGACATAAGGACAATACCCATTCAACCCACTGTTGACATAGGGTTCATAAGTACGCTGGTGACGTCAGAGCACCACAAATGTGGTGCGATACATCTTCTTTTTACTCTACTGACAGGCCGGGAAAGCCACATTTCAATTACATGGCTGTAGCCGGTAAAGCCACATTTCCAACAGATTAATTAATTAATGGATTACCGTAACCGGTAAAAGAGTGTCCCCATGTATTATATTGTGTACAGGCCTGTAAAGGTTCATAGGATATATTTACGGCCAATTTATGGAGGCTGGACAATGTATTGCGTTTGAGTTCTTACTTCATTAGAAAGTTTAAATTATTTAGCTAATTTTCGCTAGGTAGATTTATTGGAATTGGAAGCTTTTAATATATAACTTTGTAACCGGTGAATATTTAGGATATATCAAAATAAAATGACACTCATCTTCAACAAAAATGTTACCTTGGCTATAGCAATATTCACAATTACAATCTTCCCTTGGAATATTACTGTATCTACCAATTTCTAGCATAGTGCGATGAGTAGATGTTCGCATTTGCGTGATTATTTTCCTATCACTAGGATTTCTAACTAGATCCAAATACAATTCCAAACAAAACACGTCTTTTAAATTTTTGTTAAGAAATAATTTACCATTTAACTCTAAGTCAGATCTCCATTTTTGAATATAGATGTCAATGACCGTTGCTTAACAACTTTACAAAAATTATTAACATTTACAATTGGAAATTCCCATAACCAATTTCATACAAAAACCTTTTAACACTACGTAACCATGATTTATAACCATTATTTAGACCATTTAAACAAAAAACATAAACGACCCGCTATATACAGTTTTCACTGTATAATAACTTAAACCAATAACGGAACACACGGACATACCTATCTACATATAAAGGGAACCTCCCAAGTTCGCCGTACACATAATGTGTAGATGATTTGGCATTGATCTGCAAACTACGCCTGCAAAATTTTAAGTGAATTCTTTCAAAATTCAGAACATTTTACAGATTAAGATTTATTATTATGTGATATTATTATATGTAATATACCTATTAATATATTGTATTGTGCTAATTATAGAAATAAAACCTGTTGTGATCTGAATAAAATTCTGAGGAAACATGTCTTGTTTTGTTAAATACGGTAAACCTGTTTGGATGACAAAGCATGTTTTGACAGCATAGCCGTGAGAGCCACATTCAATGTTCACGCAACCATGACTATTGCCGGGAGAGCGACATCAATTTTGGCTATCTATTTCGGAAATGTGGCTCTCCCGGCCTGTAACCCTTTAATGTAGCTCATAAGGGGGCATGGTGGGCGAGCTGGCAAAGGCGCTAGGCTAGTGATACAGCGAGCTTGAGGTGACAGGATAGAGCCCACCTGAGACCGGGTGTAAAATCTTTGTTTGCAGACTCTTTCCGTGTTGTGACAGCCACTAGTGTACAGTACACAACCCTGTGCACTTAAAAGAACCCACGAATACGTTGGTAATTTACCGGATAGTGACCACATGAATACGTGCAAACACCTTGATGCGGGTACAGCAATGTGCAGTAAACTTGGACAAAGTACTGTGACTACGTGTCCAAGTCCACCCAGCTGTGAATGGGTACCTCCTTAGGATGAGAAAGCCACAATAACTCGGTGCGCCTAGTGGCTGCAAGAGTGTATACTGCCCTGGGAGTTGAGATTGATAATACGATGTGCCATTGAGACTGACATCCAATGATCGAGGAGAAAAAATACCAGCGCCTTGAGCATGCACTAGTTGCATGGATATATGCGCTAGATAAATATTATATAATAATAATAATAAAGTGCACTACTATTGGCAAATAAGTATCTGGACATTAAAAACCACATAACTCTAGTGACAACAGAACACCTTAATATCTTGCATAAAACACATAGCATGTATCTCACTTGTTTATTAAATGCTAAACATGTACATGCATGAAATCAATTGAGGATTTATGGTAGGATACGTGTTTCAGGAGGCGTTTGACGTATTTCAAGGCTTCGATCAACCATGCTTGAAAACCTGTGAAATGATGTGAAAGAAAACATTTGACCATTGTATGCACGATCATCTACAAAGGAGAGGAAACGACTACTTACCCCAACTTTTGGATAAAACAAATGGCGGCATACACACGCATGCGCATTCTTTAAACGTTTGCTTGATCATGCGCAACAAAACTTTACCTTGAACACCAAAGTGCGACACGCGACAATGCGACAACGCGACATTTCATGAAAATGTCGCGTTGTCGCATTGTCGCGTCATCGCGTTTTAGTAAATATGTTATAATAATACATACTATACTCAATACTTTAACAAAGCGCGACACGCGACGCGCGACAACGCGACATTTCATGAAAATGTCGCGTTGTCGCATTGTCGCGTGTCGCGTTTTAGTAAATACCTTATAATACATACTATCCTCAATATTTTTAACAAAGCGCGACGCGACGCGCGACAACGCGACATTTCATGAAAATGTCGCGATGTCGCATTGTCGCGTGTCGCGTTTTAGTCAAATACGTTATAATACATACTATCCTCAATATTTTAACAAAGCGCGACACGCGACGCGCGACAACGCGACATTTCATGAAAATGTCGCGTTGTCGCA